CTCAACATTTCTTAAGCCGAAAGAACAGAAGGAAAACTCACAAGCCTCAAGTGACAATACTGAAGGATTCTACGTGCAAACATGGAATGACGCTTGGATCCTCAAAAGAAGATAGAAGGAATACAGAGTTGCTCAACCCAAAAGAACTGGTCAGAGTGCAACCGTTCCAGGAGGCAAGCACGTGATCAACATGTGGTGACATTGAAGGAAGACGTCCAAGCTGCCCCAAAGGCCTTGGCAAAAAAGCAAGCTCCAGCAGTGGGTGAAATATCAACTGAGATATTTGAACAAACAGGAAGTGCTCACTCATAAATGCCGCCAAGGGATTTGGAAGACAGCTGACTGGCCACCCGGGGTCATGCCTGTTCTGAAGAAACACAACGAATCACACAATAGGATTCATATCGCATGCACATAAAATGCCAAAAATAATTGAAAAATGATTGCAGAGCATTAATAGGAAGCTGCCAGAGAGTCCAAAGAGGACATGGAGTGAGATCCCACTGGTGATGTCAAATGGATCTTGGCTGAGAGCGGAGAATACAGAGAGATGTTTACTTGTGTTTTATTTACTATACAAAGGCCCTGGACTGTGCGGCTCGTAACAGATTATGGCTAACATTGCAGAGAGAGGGGAATTCCAGAACAGTAACTTGTGTTCATACACACACCAAGAGGTAACCTGTCCTTCTAACAAAGCAAGGCCGTAGTACATGGTTTAAAATGAGAAAAAGGAATGCATCCTTATTTGATCTGTCTGCTGAGCAAACAATCCGAGGAACCAGACTATGCAGGAAGAGGCAGCGTCAGGACTGGAGGAGGTGTTATGAACAACCTGCTTCATGCCGATGACAGCACCTGGCTTGTTGAAAGCAAAGAAGACTTAAAGTGCTTCCTGGTGAAAATCAAAGACTGTAGCCGGTAGTATGGATTATACCTAAATGTACCACAGAAATCCTCAAAACTGGACCAATAAGCAACTTAGATGAAGAAAAGAATGAAATTGTCAGAAATGTCTTTCTTTTTTTTGATCCACAATCAGTGCTCATAGCAGCAATCAAGAAATCAGATGACATATTGCAGTGGCCAATGCTACAAAAGACCTTTGTGAAGTATTTAAAAGCAAAGATGTCACTAAGGTGCACCTGACCCGAGTCCCATCGCCTTGTTTGCATGTGAGATTGAATGAGGAAGACCGAAGAAGAGTGGAGACATTTGGATGATGGTATTAGTGAAGAGTACTGACTATGCGTTGGGCTTCCAGGAGAACAAACGAATTCGGCTTGGAAGAAATACAGCCAGAAAGCTTCGTAGCAGCCAAGTTGGCGAGACTTGGTCCTCTTGTACTTTGGACATGTTATCAGGAGAAAATCGTCCCTAGAAAAGGACATCACACTAAGGAAACAGAAGGGCAGTGAAAAAGTAGCAGACTTCTTTTTTTGGATCGACACAGTGCTTGCAACGGTCGACTCCAAGCACAGCACTGGGCAGTGGTCTGGTCTGCTGTACACCGGGTCCGTGTGACTCCAGGGCACCGGACAGCAGCAGAAGCAAATCGTCCCGGAGTGAGTGTGCCCCCCTTACTCCACAGGGCTTAATTCTGCTCTCTGCCATGCTGATAAGGAGCCCCGGACCCAATGGTGACGTGCTCAGCTGCTAACTCACAGGCTGGCAGTTTGAACCTGCCCAGCAGCTCTGCAGGAGGAAGCCCACGTGACCTGCTTCCAGAAAGATTACATCTTAGAAACCTGAGGGGACAGTTCTCCTCTGTCCTGGGGTCACAGTGAGTTGGCACTGATCTGATGGCACCCAGTAACATTTAATAAGGAGCCCTGATGGCGGACTGGGTTACAGGTCAGCAATTTGAACCCACCAGGCACTCGCCAGGCGAAAGATGAGACTTTCTTCTCCCATAAAGATTGACAGACAGTTCTACATTGTCTTTGAGTTAGAATTACTATTACTCCAAAACAGTGGGTCGTAACACTAGACACTGAAATTCACTGCCATCTAGCTGATTATGATTCTGACTCCTATAGGACCCTATAGGACAGAGTAGAACTCTGATCTTGGATTTCTGAGACTATAACTCTTGACAGGAATGGAAAGCCTCAGCTTTCTCCTGTGGGGAGACTAGTAGTTCTGAACTGCTGACCTTTGGGTTAGCAGCCCAAATGCATAGCCCACTATGCTACCAAGACTCCTCATACATATACTGATAGAAACACTATACTGATAGAAAATAATATCCTTTTAACACCTTTCAGCTTAACTAACAGCCCCAAAAAGAAACAGATTGCTGTAAGCGAGTCAGTACCAATTCCAGATGTATATTTGATAGTATTTTTCTGTTCCACATGTGAGTCTTTCTCAGTAGGACTTGGGACCCAGAATTGGCAGGTGGGGATGACACTCTGTCCCCTGGTGACTGTTTGATGGTTAGGAGAAGGGGCTTCCGCTTTGAAGTCGTCAGGTCAGAGTGACATGGGTTTGAGTCTTGATTCTGCTCCGCTGTCATGGAGTGGCTGGGGCAAACGATATTTTCGCTAAACCGCAGTGTCCCGAGCATACATCTGGGACTAGCATTGCCTGCTGTGCCTGTTATGTAAGGCGGCTCATTTGGCAGCCCTCTTGGTGCCTGGCACATGGGAGGTGCTCCGTGAATGGTGGTTTTCTTCCCCAGCTAACTGTCAGCCTCTCAGAGTCCAGGCCTCAGTCCTTTTGTGTCTCATCAGCACGTGGTCATACCCTTTCCTAAAGCAGCTCTTAGTCACCCCGGCATCCCCGTCTCTGGCCTTTTTGCAGGGCAATGGACGAGAAGAGGTAGTTGCCTGTGCCTGGGACGGACAGACCTATATTATTGATCACAACCGCACCGTGGTCCGCTTCCAAGTGGACGAGAATGTGCGAGCCTTCTGTGCAGGTGGGCCCCACGACCCCCCGGCCACATCTGCTTGCCTCTCACTCCCCCCGCCCCCATCTCAAAATGACCCCTGCTTCGAGTCTCATGAGCCAATGAGCTATGAGCTCTTCCACTCAAGAGTGGCCGGCAGGCAGGAGACATCCACCGCGGCCGTTTTTCAGTAAGGAGACATAGGAGACAGGGAGCTCTCGGTCTCCAGGTGTTTGTGAGACCCGGATGAGGGCCCTTCCCTCTGACTGGGATGTGTTGAAGACATTGGAAAAGGCTGCTCAGGGTGGACTGCCAGGACCCTGTGAAGGAAATTGCCCCAGACCAGTCTTACAGGTTCCAAACTGAGCACCTCTGGAAGCAGCATTTGACTCCTGGCGGGTGGGGCCGGAGGGAGGCACCGGGGGAGCCTGTGGAATACACTCTCCGGAGGCTTTGAGTGGCTGGCTTTTTGTTTCGGTTTTTCCCATAGTGGATTGCCAGGCCTTTCTTCTGAGGTACCTGTAGGTGGGCCTTTTGGTCCGCAGCCGAGTGCATGGACCGTCCGCAGCGCCCAGGGGCTCCCCAGGAATCTTAGTAGATGGGCAATAAGCGATGATACTTTTTTGGATGCTGCCTGCCCGGTGTTTGTTCCTGTGCTTTTTCTGCGTCCACATAAACGGAGAAGGACCGTTTGGCCTATTTTGCTGAGAGCCCAACAGAGAAACACTAGAAGGAGGCCCTTTCTCTTTTTGGCGGTTTGGGAGGGTGGGTAGAAACTGCTGGCTAGATGCCCCCAGTCTTACTCTGTGACCTTGCTCCGCCCACATCCCGCAGGCCTGTACGCCTGCAAAGACGGCCGCAACAGCCCCTGCCTGGTGTACGTGACGTTCAACCAGAAGATCTACGTGTACTGGGAGGTGCAGCTGGAGCGGATGGAGTCCACCAACCTGCTCAAGGTGCTGGAGGCGGAGCCGGAGTACCGAGACCTGCTGCAGGAGCTGGGCGTGGGTGAGTCCCAGGAAGCAGTGCGGCTGGTCACCTCTGGCACTAAAGGTGCCTGCAGGCCCCTTACCAGCCCCTTTCTCTACCCTCAGATCCTGATGACCTCCCCGCTGCCTGCACCTTGCTCCACCAAACCCTCTACCACCCGGACCAGCCACAGCGGGGCGTCCCCTCCAGTCCCCAGGATCCCGTAGCTGGCTCGCTTGCTCCTTAGCTGATGAGGGAACCTTCTGAGCCCCTCCCCCTCGAGGTACCTGTGGTCCTGGCAGGTAGAGACTGGAGCGCACAGAGGGACAAGGCTTGACTTGGGGCATGGAAGGACAGAGCGACCCTCGGGTGGCTGTGCGTTTGCAGTCATTTTGGTGAAAACAGATGCGTCTTCCCTGCCCAGTTCCTTGTGCATCGATTGCCTTCGTCACACAGCTGGGTCATAGGACCCCAGCCCTGTTCTAAATCGGGACCACCCCTTGGCCCCCAGGCCCCACCCTCATTGTGTAAAGAACAGACTGGTTTGTGAGGAGGGACACCACACTGTATGCATGGCGTCGGGCCTGGACTCCTGGGAGGAGGGTTGCTCGTCTGTCCCGGCACAGCTCCAGGGATGGACAACAGCGACAACTAGTTCTTCAGCCACTTCTGTTTTGTTTCCGAGGGTTACCGGCCAGCTCGTAGCTCTGTTTCTAGGCGTCTTAAGATGTTTTTCCTCAGTTTATCAAAGGAAATGGGGTCGGTGCTGGCTCACTCTGCCAAGCGCCGCAGACGCCCACTGCGTGGGGCCTGCCCTTGTTCCCATGGCCCCAAAGCCCTTTCTTTCTATCCTACAATGGTCCTTGGACATCTGATGCGGGCTCACCGTCAGACGGCAGTCACACGTGTCTGGAGCGCTTCTGTCCTCTGGCTGTTGGCTCTCAGTCCACCACAGCAGGGTGCTCTACATGTAGGCTGCTAGCTTCACGCGGGTCGGGACCAACATTTTGTAAGCGAATGAAATACAATAGAATAAAGTAGAATAGAACATATCAGAGTGCCTTGCTCACAGTACAGGTAAGTATGGTTTTGTTAATCACTGTGTGTGTGACCATGTGTATGTGTGTAGTGAGTGTCATATAAAATGTATTTCCTATTGTGAATCATGGTCAAGAGGGTCTAGAGCCATTGCTCTCAATGATACTGGCCCCAATCTGTTGGGTCAATCTGGGAGAGGGTTCATCTTCCTCTCTGCTGTCTGTGAGGGACCGGAGGGGGAAGGTGCCACTCGACTCCCGATGGGCCGGGAATAAGACCAGAGAAAGACATCTGTGTAGAGAAACAAGGGTTTATTCAAGTGGAGAGGCAGCTAAGTTGAGGACCTGCCTTGGAGCCTGGAGTCTCAGTTGCAAAAACAGCAAGAGGCTGGCAGGGACAGGCAGAGGGCCAGCCCAGCAGAGCAGAGGTCATGGAGCAAGGCAGTGAGGGAGCGGGATCCTGGAGCTCTGGAGACCAGATGTGGGGGGTGGGGGGGCGGAGTCGAGCACTTGGGGTATCCTTTCCTCTCAGGACTTAGATGAGAAGGGGGTGTCACAGGCAGCCTTCCTGGTCCCAGAGGCCTGGCAAGGAGGAGGGTGAGGACGAGGCACTTGCCACTAGACACAAACCCAAGGGGTGCTAGGCAGGGTATCCCTAACCCCTTCCAACTTAGCAATTGCCCCAGGTGCTTGTCCCCTTCCCTCACTTCTCTAATGGACCCCAAGTTCAAGACTTTGTTTCCAGCCCAAAGCTCCCAGCTCTTGGCCCAGGGTTCAGGTTCGCTGCCCTTCGATCCTCCTCTCCCTCCAACCCATGACTTACGTGACTCAACCCAATGAGGAAGACACTTGGGGTTTGGGTCCCACTTTTCACTGAGATCATGAGCGCCTGGGCCCTTCTGCTTTGGCTCAGAGCTGGGTGGAGGGAAAGGAAGCTACTGGTTTGGGGGCAGGGATGAGGGGAAGCAGAAAGGCTCATGGGTACCTCTGGAAACAAGAGGGCACACTGAAAAGGCTAAGCCTGCAGACTGACCCTCCACCAACCCTCTCCCTCTAAAAGACTTCCACATGTCCTCCATGTTCAGGGGCCCCAGTGGGTGTGAAAAGCACATGGGAAAGGGTCACTATCTGGAGTAAATATTGGAAGTATAACCAAGGGTTTGCACAGAGCAATCAAATCAACACTGGCTTAAAAACAAACAAAATGCCACTGGCCTTAGACATCTTTGTGACCCCAGGAGAACAGAAAAGCTCACTCATAGTGACCCGGCAGGACAGGCTAGAACTGTCCATGTGGGCTTTCCCAGACCACAGCTCTTTACAAGAGTAGAAAGCCTCTTTTTTTCTCCCACAGAGTGGCTGGTGGTTTCAAACTGCTGACCTTGCAATTAGCAGCCCAACGAGTAACCGCTAAGCCACCAGGGTGCCAGTTTTTGATCCCCAGAGGAAGTATCTCATAAAGCGTGCCCAGCCTTGTGAATTAAACTCACTTCTACCACCCCCCTTCAATGTGGCGCTGGAATATCTGTGTACAGCGCCCCCCCACAACCTCACCCCACTCATCCATGGGCAAATACATACAGGATCAGGAAGGTAGGCACCCGAAGGATCAGGGGTCCAGGATGGGGAAGTGTGGCAGTCTAATGGTGGGGGAAAGACATGGAAGTGAGGGCCATCAAGTGGGGTTTGGAGTGGGGCTGAAGGGCAGACAGAATCAACCGTAGGCTACCGCCTTTGACTCGGGCCAGCTCCCAGCATGCCTGGGACCCCATTTTGCTTCACCCCGCAGTGCCCTGCTGATGATCGGGGCTTTGCCTCTCTTGAAACACCTGGCAACCAGAATTGTGCGGTCATGAACCGTCTCTGGGGCGCCCCCTGGAGGAAGAAGGCAGTTGCTGTAGAAGCAGAGAGGAAGGTGGTCAGGGGGGAAAATTGGACAGTGCAGGTCAGTGGTCACAAGAGGGACAGACACAGAAGTCCCCAGCTCTCAGGATGCCCCGTTCCCCACACTGCTCTTTCCCTGAGGCAAGGTGTTTCCCTCTGGGGACTGACGGGGATGGCGGTCACTGGCCAGGGTCTTGGTACAAAGGCAGGAAGGGCAGCTCTGGGAAGGGGGCTTTCAGCCGCAGCACTCCGCGGTCCAGGTCGATGCAGCTCTGTGGGCGAGCACGGTGTCAGAAAAGGCCTGCCTCCACAGGCCCCCTTCCTCCCCGCCACTCCTCGTCCCCCCTCCACTCCCACAGCCTTCCCATCTCCCCCTACCCCCACCCCCGTTCCCATTCCCCTGGGCCCATCAAGGAGGGACCCAGGTCTCTAGTTTGACTTGTAGGCCAATGTGTGATCTTTAAGGCAGGAATGGCCGCTAACTGAAAAGGCGGCGGGTTGAACTGTTAGCCACTGTGTAGGGAACAGATGTAGCAGTCTGCTCCTGTGACGACTGCAGCATTGAAAAACAGATAGGGCAGTTCCACTCTGTCCTATAGGGTCACCCTGAGTCGGAATCAACTCAAAATCCACACAACAAGGAAGCTGATTAGAAACTGGGACGCCTGCCTCTCCACCTCGCTCTTTCTCATCAGAACTTGCCCGGTGCTCCCACACCTACCTGTTCCTTCGACCCACCTTTCCCTGCACTCTGAGGCAGGCCCCGTGTGTGGAGGCGAGGGCTGGCAGCCGGCCGGCTTACCTTGAGAGAGAGCAGAGTCTGCAGTCCAAGGCAGAATTCGGGACTCTCCACGTCTGCAGAGACCATTTGAAAACGGAAGAGACAGGAGGGTGCCCAGTGGGCCCTGTTGCCCTCCTGTCAGCGTTTACCCCTTCTCTGTCCACCCCCACCCCCAAGTCTGAGACTACTGAGAGAGTGGGGATGATCAGAGACAGCTGGGAACACTTTGCTGAGGTGCTCAGTCTGAAAGGCCTAGTCTCTGCCTTTGGCCACGCCCAGGAGGGGAACTGGGATGGTGACAGAAGGGGACTTACCCACCACCCGAGCCGAGCAGGCCACAGTCTCCTGCCCTAGCTGTAGCTCCAGCTGCTCCACCTGGATTGGGGGCCCCGGGGCCAGGTGCCCACCTGGGCCTTGAAGGACACGCTTCTCTAGCCTGTGCTTGGGAAATAAGGGTTATAGCCACCACAAGCCCCTCCCCCCCATTAATCGGCAAATGTCTCTCCCCCCCTACGCTGTGGCTTCTCCCTAGCCCGCCCC